AAGCTTAAACAATCTTATAATTACTATTCCTTCATTATAAAAACAGAAATACGGTTTTTAAAATTACATGTAGTTTCTTCTTCAAAAGTGACGTTAAAACACGTATAACATGGAATAGTCAACAGTCTAATGTTTATATTTTCACATTAACAATCCGATAATGTAAATTAACTGCTATTTTCAGTAAAAAAAATATATACCTAACCTGAAATATTTTTTTACTTTGACGAGTCGTTTTAACTTAAAAACACTGCTTAATTACTAAAATATATAGAATCTTGCTACTAATTGCGTTTGGAGAATAATATGTATAGGCATAAAATATATAGATAATATTACTGTATGTATTTAGTCCATTGAAATGAAGGCTGAACCTCCATTTTTTCCTCTGTCGATCAAACCTGGGCGCAAATATGTTTTCGACCCTCAGGAATCCGAATCCGCAAACATTTTTGACCTAGGTGATCAGGCAAGGGGTCAAAAGGTCAAAAAACCCGTAAAAAATAAGGTTTTTCGCAAATATCTCGTAAACTACGGCAAGTAGCAAAAAAATAATTGCACCATCGTGTTCCCAGGGAAATTACGATTATAAACAATTAAAAAATTTATTTAAGAAAAATTTTTGTTTTTAAAAAACAGATTACCAAGACAATAAAATGGCAAAAAAAATGTTTCAAAAATATTAAACTTGTCCATTTGTTTATAACAAATTTATAAACAAATAACGTTAAAAAGTTTTTAGCTAAGCTAATAAACGCAATATATTAATAGAAAAACAACTAAAATCAAACATTTGGTAAAAAAAAAATTTATAACATTTCCCGGATTTTTCATTTTTTGTTAATTTTAAAAAATCATTATAAACAAATGAAAAAACTTTTATAAACTTTTACAACGGAATCTTGTTTATTATGTATATAAAAAGACCTCCCAGAAAGAAAAAAAATTTTAGATACATTATTTAAAGTTTTACAACAAGTTTTATGAAAGATTAGGACCACGAAAAATTAGTTCATTAACAATTGAATAACTTTAACATAAGTCAAGTTAAAAATTATTTTCCAACTGGGCTGTGTTCCTTCAAGTGTCTAGATGACACTATAATTTATTTAGATTTTTAAATTAATATTGAATACTATAAAAAAATTATTTTGTGTTGCACACTTTGCTTGGCGGCGACGCGACGACGCGGAAACCGCCGCCGCCGCGCGGAGCTATATTTTCAACGTCAAATTAAAATTATAAATAATGGAGCTACAATTCCTGACTTATTTTGCTGAAATTTTCTCCTCTTTCAGGATCTTTTTTGAAATTTCAGCTATCTTCAATATTTTTTTAGTTATAGTTAAAAAACGGAGACTCCCTTTTTTCTCTTCGTTTTTTGTTTATAACAATTGCTATTTTTAATTGCGGATAAATTTAAAAATACTTCTTTCTCTGAATTTAATTCCGAATCCAATGTACTAACAACCATATTTTTAGGATTACAATAACTATTTTTCGCAAAAAAAACTCACTTCTCGACTAGACTAGTGGTTTCCTTCTTATCGGTAAGTAGCTACTGATTTGTAGATTGAAACAGAAATCTACCTGAGCCAGACCAATTTTTAAGCTGTAAATTTATTTTGAAACTACCAAGGCTACAACATAAATAACGATTTTATGTGGGACACCCTGTACGTAAAATTTAATCTTTATTCTTAATAAAGAAAAATTAGTACATATTATTGGTTTTTTATGCGTTATATTTTCGTACTACTTAAGCTTTACAAAATCTTATTACTTAGGTACCTACCTACTTTTAAAATATTACCCATATTTATATATCAAAGATAATATCAGACCATTATGGGTCCCATATTCTGTAAATAGTGTTTTCCGCAAAGACAAATAATTTCAAACATTTAATAACTGAATAATCTAAAGCTTATCAAATAATAGGAATGTTATGTCATGCCACCTGAGTATTTTCAAAGACGCCGGCCGCAGTAAAACGAATAAACAGGTGCAAAAAACGATCAAACCATTAAGGTTTTAGGTACTGAAATCTACGAAAATACTATCTTTTTTATATATAATTCCACATGTAAATATTCTTATAACATTTACTTGCTTAGTCCTACATATAAAATTGTTTACTTTTTATAAGTACGTGAAAATAATTGTTAAAATGTGGGGTTAGGATAATAGCAAACGCATGTTTTGCAAACGCTTTTTTTTAGTTATTATTTTATTTGGGTAAATTTAAACGGTAACCATGAATAAACAAAACATCAAGGATTTTATTTTTGTGCTTACCCCTACTTTTGTTCTACACGTTTTACTTTTAAAGATTTCAGTACCTAAAAACGCCAGAAATTTCACTATTTCTCGGCCAATACAATTTACAATAAACCAACTCTGTGTTTTCGCTTTCATTTTCAAGGGTAGCGACACCTGTGACAGAGTACACAAACTAATTTTATTTAGAAATTCTTGTAGAAGATAGAAACCGCTAAAATTCTGGTTTAAATATATAATATAATATAATATAACATGGAGTCGTGTGTAAAATGTTGTCATCTTACTTGAGGACACAAATTATAGAATTGTTAATAAATATTAATCTGAAAATTAAATACAAATGATCCTAAGTGTCCGTTCTAGTGAGTGAAGTAGTTTGGTTATTGTGCCTGACCTAGTTCCGTCGTAAATCCAATATATTGGCAGACTAACAGTATGGTTAAAATTGAGGTACTTTGGCATTTATTTAAATTATTCTTCTGTTCTCATGAGCATTGAAATTTATTTCACTCACTAGCGGGAACCATTGCGAATACATTGATATATAATAATATTCAATTATGTTAGTTTCTTCGACGATTTGTGTCCTCATCTGAAGCTCTGTTACATGGTAAAAATATACATACTAAATCGCCCCCTTAACAGTTAACAATAAAAAAGCAGGTATCGGCATTGTGGAAAGGTGCATCCAGTCGTAAACACCTCATAAACAAAATATTAACAGGTCTTAAAAAATCCACTTTGCAGGGGTTTTACAGCAAACTCCCTCCGTCGACTGAGACACTTTAATAATGCAAATTGGAAAGAGCGGAAACTGAAAGCATGTAAAAGCGGAAACGGCTTATTTCGTTCGGTCCCTTTTTCAGGCCGAGCTATTTTAAAAATAATTTTAATAGTTTTAGGTGCGGAAAAAGCGGACGAGGATGTTCGGACTGTTTTTCCTGCATTCATTTTGACTGTTCCGAATTAATATGTCCGTCACGTTCATTTTGATTTGAAGCAGAATAGTAATTTGCATACAGGGTGATGTATTAGAAAACGGCGATATTTAAAAGTACGTTAGCCTATCGTTGTGTGGGAAGCTCTGAGAATATTTTAATAAAAGCATTTATTAATTTACCACTAAAATTATAACGAATTTCTTATCTGTAGCTAACAATAGTAATTTGTTATTACTTTTTTCATGAATAATAAGAATTTCATCAGGTGGTTGCTATGAGACGAGCGTTATTAAGTAATTAACTGAGCTACACATTATACAGTAATCGCCATATTGTTCCTATTTAAATCCATAAAAATAACTACCTATTTATTATTTGAGATGGAAGAATTCACATTAACTCCGCCAGAAATTATTGAATCAGCACAGCAAGTTCAGTGTAATTTTATACTGGAAAAGAAGATATATCAGCAAATATATAAAAAATTTATTGATTACCAGACTGAAAATAACGCTGTCTTTTTTAGAAAATGTATTATTGGTATATTTTTCTGAATTAATCAAAAGTATGAAATTTTCTTCATTATGGTCAATATATGCGATTCTCACAATCAGAGCTACTTTGAATGTCTACAACAACATCGATATTGGAAAGTATCTAAAATTAAAACGTTCTTGAAACGACAATCGGAAGGATATCGCGTTTTAGAAAATGATACATATTTAAGTACAAACGTAATTATAAATAAATAAAATTACTTTCGTTAAAGAACAAATTTTAATTTTTAATTTAGCGGCAGTAAACATTATTTTAATGCCTAAGCAGTAAATGTGACACTTTAGTGCCTCACAGATGTCACTAAAACTACGCCTTTAATGTCGATCGGCGAAAAAAAAAATAATATTTATATAATGTAGGTAAAACAAACAGTTTATTATTATTTTCTCTGAAATTGCCAAAAGAGAGTAGCTACATAATGTCACATTTTTCACATCAATGAAGCAAGAATATTTTTTTAATTTTCAGTCGAAATATTATAATATTAACAATTTATTACCAGCATTATTATTGTACATAAAAGACACCCTTACAAACTGGACCTAGTTTGAAATAATTTGCTATTATGTAATTGTACACTGAAAAAAGGAATTACTAAGTACTAAGTACTAAAATAATTATTAATAAGTTCATAGGTTTGTAAAAAATTTTATTTGAATGTTAATTTATGTTTACTGTAATATCATATTTCGCTTCTTTACTATTAATCTACATATTTTAAAATACAGATGACATAAAATTATTAGAAATATATTTTAGCTTAATGTGAATTAACAGTTTTTCAATTAAAATAGGTTATTTTAATATTAAAAAATCACTGGTTTATAAAAAGTGCATTGTTTTTTCACTAATATTGAACATATTTCTTTCCTGATTAGTCTCAAAATTATGTACCTTTTCAAAATTTCAAACTAAACTGATAATTAGATAACTTATCTATCTAAGTTTATAATTAAATTTGAAAAAGTACATTGTGTTGAGATAACCTACCAATAGAGAAGCACATACAAATGCGATACTTTTATTCGAACATTTCAATTTTGCTAAAAATTAATTTTATGACTGTATTTTCAGAACTTATTATGTATGTACATAAATATATCGTTCAAAACTACTTGTCATAATTGTTGACAGTTTAATGAGTTATTAAAAATAAATGGCCCATTGTTAAATTGGATTTTATTATAAATTTAAAAAACTACAAAAGCAAACTAAAACTGACTTTTTAACGATTATTACTTGTTTGGCCCTAACTTCCACAGTTTATGCTTCCATTTTAATTAGGAGCAAACGGACCACAGCACTCTGTAACTATATGCACATGTTATATTATGAATATGATCTAACAACAACAAGAATGGCAAAGACACTTTAATGTTTAATTGTAACGTTTGATAGGCCAATATAAAATAATATTTCTTAAATAAAAACGATTATAAATTTCCATTAATAATGTGTTCCTTTAATTCTCCTAACAAATATTCTAAAATCATAAATGGTTATATTAAATCTAATTTGTTAATTATAGAGACAAACCTGTTGTAAACTGTTTTTTTTTTCGAACAAATAAATGACTTGCATTGAATGTAACTGGGTTATCTCAATGTAACTAGCATAGATGTAAAACAATCGATTGCTTTAATAGAAAGTAATTGTTTTTTTCAGTGTACAGCTAACAAAGTAATGTTATTAGTTTCTTCTAAGCATCTACTTTGAATGAAAATGACCCATTCAAGCTCAAAATCGGATTTTCGAGGGGGTATCTTTGAACCACGCGTCGAATCAAATCAAACCTACCATGAAAGAAAATTCAATTTTTGCGTCCGTTTTCGTGGCATGAATGATTTTTTCTTCAAATTATGTGGCACCATCTGAAAGAGTATCCCCAAAAACATAAATCTAGTAGATTTGACTTGATTCCTCGCCCGTGTGCAAAGGGCTCCCGGTTCAAAAACACCCGCCGAGCGTTAATTGGATGACACCAATTTTCTGTCAACGACATCTAGAAAGAGCATAGCAATGGTCGTTTCGGCAAAGGAAGAGTTTTTTTGTAAGTTTCGTATTTTTCACTTAAATCATCATTGTAGAAATGTACACAGTAATCCTGACCAACACTGCCGCTTACACAGACAGGCTTTTTCCCATTACTATACTCTTCGTTGCACTTTTCCGTTATGCTATTTTCTGCTAGCAGCATTTGAACTATAGTCAGGCAAGAGCAGTACCATGGATTTCCAACCATGACGATGTTCTTCAACTTTCCCAAACGAACAAAGAAGTTAAATGGGAGGAACATCAATCTATTGTTATCTATATAGAGATTTTGTAGACTACTTGTCTCACCTTTAGGAAATACATTCCCGTTTATTTGTCTGAGATGGTTGTGTGAGAGAATGAGATAGGACAGCTTCGGGGTCTGCTTGAAAGAATTTGATTCCACGAAGGTTATCGAGTTCATCGCTAAATTTAATATTCTCAAATTTTTTAACCCCCGCAACATATAATTGGTAACAGCTGTCAGAGAGTTGTTGTGCAGCCATAGAATTTCGAGGCTTTTAGGGTGCGTTAAAAGTTCTTGGAGATATATCGACTGCAGATTGTTCCCATCCAACAAAAGCTTCTTCAGATTCGGCAGGTTTTCCAGTGCACTGTTTTCTATGGTGTGTATTTTGTTCTTAGATAACGCCAATTCCTTTATTGGTAGATTCGTAAACACTCCTATTGGAATTTCTTTTAAATTGTTATTTTCAAATCGTAACTCTTGAAGGAAAGATAAGTTAAAAAAAGCTGCAGGGTAAATAGCGTTAATATTGTTGTATCCTAAGTGCAAATATTTTAACGGGATGTCCTGAAAAGTGTCACTGGATATCTTGTTAATTTTGTTGTGATTAATAACGAGATATTGTAGTTTTGAGGCAGATTCAAACGATCTTGGGTATATTTCCAACTCAGTATTGAACTTAACGTGTAAACGTGTCACTTCTTTTATGTTTGGTATTTGACTTATTAGTTCTCGAGAAATTTCACTGACCGACTCGCAGTTGACTTCATTTTCCACATTTTTACATAACCCTTTACAATTTTTTACACATGATAATATTATTAAGGTTACGAATAACGAACACGAGATTTTCATTTTATTTGACCAATTAAACTACTAAAATCTGCTGGTGTTGTTTACAATTTAATCTCGACATTGTATCCCATCAGTTGTAAGCTTCTGGTTATACAGTCCAGTATAGGATTAAAAAAATTTTTAGTTAGTTTAAATGAACCAGGACTTAAATACTTATCTAACTTTTTCAAAAATAATAATTTACTATTTATTTTATTTTTATTTTAAAATTTTTCAAAAAAAATTGACAATAAAAATAAATAGTAAAACTGATGCATATCCCTTTCCATTCCTATTGACCACAATACAGTCATATGCATTAGATGAGATATTAAATAACAAAAAAAAGTAAGTATCACTCCAACTGAAACCGAAAGTGTTACGTCTCTAACAAGTGTGTTTTAATTTGTATTATTTAAGGCTAGGAAAATAAATGGGAGCAACTGTGTACGGCCCTGCAGATGATAGCAAATTAGCGAGTCTGTTGTGAAATTTAACTGATAAAAAGTATATAAATAAATGTTATCGCAATAAATTAAATAAAATTTTGATATTGGAATGTTAACTTATTTTATACCGGTAGTTCCAAACTTTCTCCCTATATTTTCGAAATAAATGAAGGAATTTTTTACATAAACTTTTTCCTAAATATTAGTGATAAGGGAGACATTTAAATAGGGAACACCCTGTAAATTATTACATTTTTAGATGTAAAATTTTATTCTGAGCAAAAGTATAAACATATATGACACTTATTTTTGACAGTTTTAATGTAAAATATCGGGAATCGAAAACAGAAAAACGATAGTTCGAACAAATAACAAAATTATAGAAAGAGTAAAGAATATTAACAGAACAAGAAAAATATAAATTATTTTAATAAGTGTTCTATGTGAGTCCCATTTCTCTGGATGCATAATTCATATCTTTTTCTTACTGATGCGATCACATTTTCTAATACGTCGGGATTATTATTGATATTCGCAATTTCTGTCGTTACTCTTTCAATTAATTGATTTACATCTTCTAATCTATTAGTATATATTTTATTTTTTAAATATCCCCAGAAGAAAAAATCCATTGGACTAAGATCTGGACTACGGGAAGGCCACAATGTGGTTTCTCGCCTACCAATCCACTCCGTGGAATTGTTGTTTAATAAGTTGATAACTTCTGCAGTAGTATGGCATAAAGTTCCGTCTTGCCGTCAGATTATTACCCTCAGCTGTTGTAATGGAATTTCTGACAGGAAGTCGTCTGTTTCGTTTGGTAGAAACTCCCATTAGTACAGTTATTGAAGCTTTTCACCTCCGAATACTTTGAAACTGAACCGATCGACTTTTTGATAGATAGTTAGAGAAAAGGCCAATGAACATTAATAACATAGCGCCGATTGGTGCTTCCACCCTATTGGGGGTTGACATCCCTTCTCGGGGGTGGAATTTTTTTCAAAAATAACGTTGGAAATCGATAAAGAATTAAATTTTGAGCAAAAAAGATTCAAATAAATTTTTCGAGAAATCAATAGTTTTTTAGTTATTCACGATTGAAAACTTGTAATTTTGAGTGAAAAAAAAAAACACTTTCAAAGTATTTTTCGTGAATAACTCAAAAACTACGCATTTTATTAAAAAAAGGGTAATGAACAAAAATGTAGCTTATAAATAAACAAAGAAAATCGTTTTTTAAAAAGTGTTGTACGTCCTATACAAAGCCAAGTACCTATGGTTAGTGGAAGGGGACTTGTTTTGGGGGGAATACTCGAATCGATGTATTCAACGTCAAATAACGGAAAAAGGATTAATTTTAAGTTTATAACGCTCCGGGAGTTTTTTGTAGTCTCAAAAAGACCTTCAGAATGAGCACTTACAAAAGTCAATTAGAGTAAAATTGAAGGAGTTACTGTCAAAAACAAATGGGTTGCTCATAATTTTTAAGGAAAAATGACCAGTAAACGCTGTACCATTTCCATCAGAATTAAAATTAATCATAGACCCTTTACAATTAGTTTTGTTTTAGTGTTTTTCATAGGATCCTGAAGTTAGACCGGCTTAGAATGCATATTTTTTTAATAATGTATTTCAAAATCGATTATAATATTTATCATTATTTTTTGCATAGGGGTAGTTTTTAAGGGTTAAATAAAGGGTCGAAAATATCAAATGTCTTATTCTAAATTTTCATGCAAATCCATGCAGTTTCAAAGAATTCGGAGGTTACAGCTGATTTTTAGCTTCAATGACTGTACTACATGAAAAATAATAAAAAATATCCGCGTGTTGAGGATCCCTACACCAGACATTTACCGTCCTTCTTTCTTGAAATTGAATTTCGTTCACAAAATGGGAGTTTTTCTTATTAAATATGACGGCTGTTCTGAATGTCGTGTGTGAATACGTGGGTCATTGTTATATTTATCCATCATTTTCTGACAAAATGTTACGCATTGATTGTTATCATTTAATGTTAATTTTGGCCGGGCATTACTTTAAAGGTTTTTAAATTATGCTTTTTAAGAATTCTTTGTATGCATGATACCAAAATCTCCAACAGCGTCCCTTATGGAGAACGTAGTATTTTATTGGAAATAATAAATGAATATTTAACTCCATTTCTTGCTTATTATTATTAATATTTCTAATCCGCTTTTTGTCTTTCAATGTATGAAAATGTCTGAACTTAGTGCCATATTCAAGAAAGTCTGTCAGGATACTTGATTCGATAATCTATGACAGCATTATTGTTCTAATGGAAATATGTATACTTCGACAATATTACTACGTTCTTCTTCAGTATAACGCATATTTTCTATTTTAATTTACCGAAACTACTGTTTATTGTTATTTTAATTGTCATAAACGTCAAAATAATTATTGGAAACAAAATATCAATAAAACCATGGCAATCTTGAATATGCAATATGCGGGATTTGACCGATTACCTAAATACAAATATATCAGAAACTATTAAAAATAAGTGCCACATATATTATATAACTTAGTCTAGAATAAAATTTTACATCTAAGAATATAATAATTTACAGGATGTTCCATTAATAATAAGTTGTATCTGTCACATCGACATTTTAATTTGAATTGTGTGGGAAACTCCATAAAAAACGCTACAACTTTTATTTCAACATAATTTTTACATCTGCAAAACTAACTGAGATAAGTGAGATGGGAAAGTTAAGCGGGACGTACATAGTCTTTTAAGAAATGTTGTTTGAGAATTTTTTGATCATATTTTATTCAACGTGTAGTTTAAAGGGGTGATTGTCAACTTTTTATTAAATTTAGTTTATTACAACAATTTAAATTTCGCTCATGTTTCCAGTCCAAGAATGTCAGAGGATATCAAGCCTGTCAGCCAGACAAAATAAAAATTTTCACTGATCTTTCTAATTCTGCTGCCGGAAAAAGTGTGAGTACAATGTAAAAGTAAAAATGCATCGCAAAGGGAAAATATAGACATTAGTATGTAATTCTACACAATGCGTCGTGTGTATTCATTTAAATTTTTTTGTACTTATACAGGGTGTTGCAAATTTAAAGGATATCCAATGAAAAATTTAGAAACTATCAATAAAAAACATATTTTTTTATATATTTTTTTGACATCCTCTATTTCAAAAACGAAGCATTTGCCGACCTACGTTTAGAGGAATTTTTTCTAATTTTTGGATGTAGAATCTGCTCTAGAATTATCTGAACAACGCTCTGTATAAAATTACAGATATGTAATAAGCCGATGTGAATTTCAATTCTTATCAGTGTTGTCAAGGAAACATTGAACTGGCTTAAAATTTTCAAATGATATGAAATTGAAAACACAATATCTGTCACAATACAATTAGGAACATAGATAAAATGAAAAAATTTTGAGTAATTACTCAAAATTTTTTCATTTTATTCTGACTTGAAACATGTACCGGACAAAATTAAGAAACATGAAAATTCTCCTAAACACAAAAATAACTTCGTGAGTTTTTTACTTTTAGGAAGAGTAAATATTGCTTCTTGTTTAGTTAAGTAGTGCTTATGCAGAACAAATAACGAAACAGTTAAGAAAAATCGATAGCTTCTTTCAAAAATTTTAAAAATCTTAAAACTATGTGGTACATGTAACCTTCCTCATCGTGGACATAATGAAAAAAATGACTCGGTAAACAAAGGGGTATTTTTAGAACTGATAGACTATAGTGCAAAAATTGATCCCGTTTTAGATAAACATCTTAGTGATGCCCATGTTTTTAAAGGAACTTCAAAAACTATACAGAATGAACTATTATCCTAACTGGGTTGGTTGATCGATTATCCACTTCAGCCCCCACACGTTGGAATTTTACTTCTCGCATTGTATCTAAGTACTGTAAGCTTATGTACACACTGACAGTATTCAATTCGGGGTACTTGCAAAACACAATGACCTTCAAATTCCTCAAAATTTTTCGCCTGCGGCGCTAAACGAGGGACTCCCGCCCCCCGCACCCCCGCAGCTCTTATCATATACCTCCTCTTTTCAAAATGCGCCCTCCCTGTATTCAAACCGACGGGCCGCCACTGCTGATAGATCAAAAATGAGGTCGGAGTCAGTAAAGTGTGACATTAATTTCAGATTAAGTTGAAGTACACCTCGCCAGCCTTGGCCTTCATGTCCCGATGGCTCTTTTAAAAATCCATTGAAATCCATAACAACGGCCGACCCGAGCGCCGAATTAGCGTAATAAGCGAACAATTGAACCCTCTCGGGTGAACCGGCGCGGTCGGCCTTGGTCCGCTTCCGTGCTCTATCCCGCTGACGTCTCCGGCAGTCCTTCAGGCTCGCATGTCAATTGCCAGTCTGTTTTTGCCCCATCAATGGGGCTTTATTGTCACGCAGACGTTCGACTGCGAGGGCGGAACGATCTTGTTAAAATTTATAAATCCCGTCTCCCCCTTCTATGTAAATCCGGCATTTGGAGTTTTATTTATAGCCCATCATGACCTTAAAGTATTGGATTTGTAGCTCGGGTATTGACA